CATTAAATAAAACTCGTGCGAAAAACTAATGTTCATTACACGCTCAATCTCACTGCACTCTAACTGTCATTCAAAAATTTCTGCCTAAATTAATCTCCATTTCGCATCTCAAAAATGAAAAGACGGTTGAAAAGCAAAGTAAACTAATTTCAACAAACGAGCTCAACAATTGTCGTAGGAATCAGGAAAATATCGATATTTTACGAGAGTTATCTTCGATAAAAAAATCTAATTTGACACCTATTTAAATTTGCGTGAAAAGAAGTGACCGTCGTCTCTCGATAAGAAAGATTCGACACGTGTTCAGATCTAATGTCTGCTAGCACGCATTTAATTATTGGAGAAAGTCTCGGAGCATTCGAGCTCGACCTGTTCCCACGCGTTTCACGTACGAACGACAAAATCTCCCACGGGAGAAATCGATTTCCAGTGTACATCGATGCTCACCTATTTTCGACCTATTCCTTCCTGCTAGGTCCAGAAATGCCCCTACCTTCTCCTCTTTCATCGCAACCATCCTCGCGTGGCCTCACACGCTCCGACGCTTATCCGCTGCTCTATTAATTCCACGGTTAACGATACTCTAGCTTCTCTATCGTTCCGGAAACAGGATATTCGACCATGTGAAGTATATAGGTAAAAATAAATATAAAGTTTAATTTAGGAATTAAGGAAAGCTATTTAAGCGATGACAAAAAGATATTAAACTCTCACTATACTTGCACGTTGTCATTACTCTCAAGCTACTTTCTCAAGATCTGTACGTTCTTACGACTCGCTACTCTGTATCAGAAATGTTACTCTCAAAACATTCGTTTTCACACACACACACACACAATCACACTCTCATATTTTATGTCAAAGTCGGGTAACTGGCGTCTTTGTCCCCTTTCTTGATCGCTAACGCTATCCCCTCCACTGTATCAATCCCCTCCATTGCACCGATCCCCTCCACTATACTACCGTGCATGAGCCCCACTCTCTCAGCCTGTGATTTCTCTACTAAGCAATAAGAGGGGGATCAATGAAGGAGAGGGGATAGTGTTAATGATTAAGAAAGTAGGGGCAAGGATCGCTAGTTAACCATCTTTATTTTACAAGACCTGAGCTGCTAAAACAAACAGTCCCAAGTTTGATCTTCTTCTCTCAAAAAAATTTCCTCACTTCCACCAATATTCATTTCGATCTAGCGTCACTCTGGCTGAAACAATCGACGTGTTTACTGCAGAATAAACGAAATTATAAATGTAAGTGTAGGAAAGATGATCCTCGAGTAAAACATATATTTTGTAGGGGAAAACATACGTAACTCGAACTGTGTTAATGAAATTATTAAGAATTATGAAATTTTTTTATGTTATAAAGAATGCCGCAACAACTTTGCTAACATATGACAAATACCCAACAGTGGAATTACAATATTTCTTTTTGGTGTTTTTATGCAATGTTTGCAAACGTGAGTAATGTTTCTTTTTTCTCTTCTTTTTTGATCACCGCATAGTGGTTCACGAAAATATTCGAGAAGTTATGGAAACCTTTTTCAAACAAGCCGTGCAAAAGATTTTAGAGTTTCGTTCATGTTTATTGCATTTTTTGGTGTTTCTCTGCAATGTTTGCGAGTGTACGCAACTTTTTTTGCCCACGAAGATATTTAAACGTTTGTAAAAACTGTTTTTTGTACAAAATATTTTGAAACTTCATCTACAGGGTTTATTGTATTTTTTTTTTTACTATTTCCCTGCAACGTTTGCAAGTTGCAAATATGTTATTTCAGATATAGAAAATTATTTACCAAAATACCAGGCGATATGTTGAACCATTAAAATGTAATCAATATGTTTGAAGAGTGGAGTATAGATAGCTGATAAAATATTTGATGATAGTCATGTTATTGATGTAGAGTACACTGACTGTTGTTTGATTAACGAAAGTTCGGTCGTTGAAAACCACGTTCGGTCGATGAAAATTACTCGATTTAATAGTACAAAAGTTGTTCACGTTCAACCTGTCAATTCAATTTAATCACACGCATGAAAATTTCGTGAATTTCTTGCGCAAACGCTTCAAATCCAAATGTACAGACGACGAAACGGAATGAAACATACCGTTTATATAATATTAAAAAAAAAAAAAAATCTACAGACTTCGTGCGACCGCGATAATATGAGGGAATAATTGGCAAAAATGAAGTAACGGTGCGACTGTGCGACAACTTCGCGAATTAAACTGAAACTAATTATATTACTAACGAAGCGTTATTGAACGTTTCATCGACACTTAAAATCCACGGATTGAGATGAAATACATCAGCCGCTAATAATTTCTCTGTGGATTTGAACTGCGACGACTAAATTGGATGACTGTCCAGAGCAATTAATTTCATTTAATCGGCTTTGCATAATTCGAGCGGATTTCAACCATTTAGGCAGTGTCGTCTGGACGAATCATTTAGCACCAGTGATGCCTCAATGTCAAACGTAGAACACCAAGACAAGATTGATATATCCTTCACTTTTTCAATTTTTGTTATTTTTATTCGCGTTGATCAATTGCGAGGAATTCTGTGGCATTCCTTGAAACCTTGATTTTTTTCTAAATCGTAATATTCGTTCAAACAACTGAAAAGACTTGGAAAATATAAAAATAGAATAATAATAGAAATGTCAAATATTTTAGTACAGCAAAACAATTGAAGTGAAATTCGTTATAATTTCTTTCGAATTTAAAAATTTTCTGACAAGTCTTTATTATTTAACGAAAAGACATCTATAAGATTTGCCACTTTCAGTATCAAAATAATAATAACAAAAACATGTCAAAATCAAAATTGAAGATTAAACAAGAAATCAATCACGTTTGGTACGTATCTTTTGTATTGTTAATTGAAAAATACTCAAGTTGAAAATGATTTCAAAATTTATCGCTCAATCGTTAAAATATTCATTCTTAAAAACTTTCTAAAATTTCCAAAATTTTATCCATGTGCATAAAATTTACTCTTAAAAAAAAGAAAAAATCGATTAATTCCAGAAAACGAGGTTCATAGCTACGAAAACACTGTTTCTCTCTGTAGTTTCGATTTCCTCTACTTCTTCAACGAAAAACTCGTCTGAAGACAAATCGGTGTAATGATCTTCCAAGCAATCAAGAGACTTCAATCGGTAATATCAAGCTTGAAAAAACTAGCACCTGTTATCGGAATTTCACGACAAAACTGTGATCCGCGTTCCGCATGGTCGTGCACGTCGATTTATCGCAATCGCGAGTTATCGCGTGGCTACGTTCCACGGGATATAGCTCTCGATGCGCGTGTTCGATAAAAAGAGAAGGACGTTTTCGAAAAATAAACGAACGTGCATGGCGACGAACGAATTCCTGTACTGCAACTGATCGCACGTCGAAATTGAAAAAAAAAAAATTGTTGCCTTTGATTTCAATTTTTAGTCGATGCAATTTATTTGAGAATTTAGGAGCAGTTTTTACGTGTGTTATTATAGAATATCCTGTACTTTTAGACGTACGTAAAATTTTGTTTCCGTTACAGTGAAAGGACATTCATTACTAAAACGGATAATTTCGACGTTGTATTTTTCTCACGGGATTTTTATTTCTCAGAAATTTGTGAAGCACATAATAAAATTTAGTTTCATTGAAAGTGAAACGTAACGTTTACTATAGTATTCATTATTGAAAAGGATAATCCCTGCGCTGTATTTTTCATGCAAATTTCGTGATTTTAATTTCTCTGAACAATTCCGTCTCGCGTTAAATACACTGCTTTCATGAAGTGTGAAACATTGAAAAAAGAAAGATTTTAAATTTAATTAATTTTCGCTGCTTTACGCATTGAATTTTCGTATAAATTATTTCTAAAAATTTCGCACGAAATGGACTCCTTTAATATGTAAACGTTCCACATTTATCACACTCGCTGTGGTAAATTGACTTCGACACAGAAATTGAAGATTCCGGCGATGAAATTTGACGGTGTATCCAGCGCCCTTGCATATCGTTCCGTCAAATTTTACAACGATGGAAATCAATTTTCAAATTTCGACGCTAATTCGTGCGCGAAATCCCGTTGCAAGCTTGTTAATTTTTCAGCATGCTGATTGCATTGAAATGGAATTTCTAAAGACAACTGCTGTTGCGACGAACAAACAATATTGTTATCA